GACGGTGTGGAACTGAAAGCAACAATGTTGCCATATTAAAATGTGTAATATCTGTAATACGTTTGATGAAAATATTTTTGGATGAAAAATCCGCGTTTATGTATGAAAAATGTATTCGAGTCAAACATAGAATAAACAACAAAAACTAAAATTCTTTTATAGGTACTGAATATGTCGTATCATCAAAAAAAGTTGTTTAGTTGGCTTGGAAATGACAATTATTGACATTTAACATAATAGGTATTTTATTATGAAATAACAACGATCTTCATTTCCGAGCCAACTCTGACGTCATTCTTTGTTTAATCATATAATATTATATTAAATTGTTTAATGTACCTACCATATTATTAACGTACTGTACCCAAAATCCGTAAATCTACGGATTAATCAGTAGTTGTGACAGCACTGCCTCTGGCGACCTCTCAGTCTGTCTGAAAGCAGAACTATGGGACAGTATACTTTATCCGCTGCGCTGTAAAGGACTACAAGCGCGCAGCGGCACAGAGCTAAACTAGCTAAACTAAATCTCAGACAGGCTGACCTGTGCTGACGGTATCGCCAGCTACACCTCGGGCAGGTTTTGTGCCACGAAATCGCCCATAAGGTTGCGCATCTTCTTATTTCTTCAATCAACATTAAAACTATTAATATAAATAAATCATTCACTTTCATTCACTTACATTCTTCTATATAGACTGGTGGTAGCAAGGCGGCTGCGGCTTCAAGAATAAAGTGCCTGAGAAAGCCCACCATGATGAGGCGAAACGTCGCATAATAAAAAAAAAGTTTCCATTTTCAATTAATAAAAAAAAACCTCATACCCAAGAAAGGAGAAAAAAAATATATAAATATAAATAAAGGAAAATTAGGTCAAATTTTATTAAATAACAAAGACAAAATTAATGTCAAAAATAAGTCGGGTGTGTATAGGCTGGATTGCAATAATTGTGATGCCGTGTACAGTGTGTCCCATTTTGGTTGAAATCATAAGGTATCTCCGTTATTAGTGAAGATAGAAGGGTGCGGTTTGCACAAACCTGTCCCACTTTTTCGTCAAACGGAAGATGCTGCAAACAAAATTTTCATAGCCCTCTTCATTTCTGAGCTACAGGGTCTTTTCAAAAATTTTGCAATTTGGGACACCCCCTGTATCTCTGTTATTGTTAAAGGTATCGAGAAGCCGAAAACTGCTTATTGTAGAACTTTTTACGTAGAGTACAGTGGCGTAGTCTGTTTTTCTACCAAAAAAATATTTTTGAAAATATGAACTATAGTTATGTTTTTTCAAATGGCAACACCCTGTATATTTATAAATCATATGATCTGTCTTGCTACGAGCTTCTCAAAAATATATATCACTCTATATTTATTTTCACTATTTACTGCAATATTTAAAATATATCATTTTCTTATTAGTAGGCCGTGATAAATAACAAAAAATCAAAATGGTATTTACTAAAATAGTTATTCACATATTAAAATTAATTTGGGATTGATATATTTTACTTTTGAAATAACTGTTACCACTGAAACTGTGAATATATTTTTCTTTTTTTTATAACGGGATGGGTCTGCAAATATCTAAATCTTGAATTATTAAAGCATTTTTCAGGTGTTCGACATTGTTGTAGTGCCCACGATATATTTCGTATTTCAAAAATCCCCAAAATCAGATATCGAGAACGGCGAAATCCGGGAATCGAGGAGGCTATCAATATGCGTTCATTGGTTCCAATTCATTGATTTGAAAAATAATAATTTAACAGTATTCTAATATTTCCATAGTTATGAGGGGGAATGTTCCCCATCTTGCTGAAAGTATATTTCACGTAAATTAGCTAAAGGAATATCTAAAATTTCCGATACGATAGATTATTCTTACGTATACACGTATTCCAAGATTTACAAATAGCGGTAGAGAGTTAAGTTTCCCTAATATATAAAGAATTTATTAGCGGCTCCCAAAATAAAACAAGAGACAGATAGCAGTATACTTTTAATAATTCTTTAGTTTCTTTTATTATCAATCATGGCCTACTAATAAATATGATCTTTTAATAAAAACTTTTAAATATTGCAGTAAATAGTGAAAATAAATATAGAGTGATATATATTTTTGAGAAGCTTATGGCAAGACAGATCATATGATTTATAAATATACAGGGTGTTCCATTTAAAAAAACATAACTTTAGTTCATATTTTCAAAAATATTTTTTTGGTAGAAAAACAGACTACGCCACTGTATTCTACATAAAAAGTTCTACAATAAACAGTTTTCACCTTCTCGATAGCTTTAACAGTAACAGAGATACAGGAGGTGTACCAAATTGCATAATTTTCAAAAAGACCCTGTAGCTCGGAAACGAAGAGGGCTATGAAAATTTTGTTTACGGCATCTTCCGTTTGACAAAAAAGTGAGACAGGTTTATGCAAACCGCACCCTTCTATCTTCACTAATAACGGAGATACCGTATGATTTCAACCAAAATGGGACACCCTGTACATAGGTCAAACAGATAGAAATTTAGATATAATTCATTGTATGTTAAATTGTCACAAAATTAATGAAAACTCAATTCAGTTACTACGTAGAGAAACGACCGACGAAAAGGCAGGTTCTTAAATTACCTTGAACAGTTAGAAATATTAAAATCAGTCAAAAACGAAAATAATGGAAACGGCCAACAAGGCTTTCTAAACCCACGTTTTGTTTTTTCACAAATTGTTTTCTATTGCCCCTATTTTAAACTCTCTGAGCCCACCCCCATAGCAAATATACGGGGTGGCCCGAACTGTATTCCGGTAACTTCGGCACCATATTCTACAGATAAAAATAAGTTAAACAGTTCATATAAATGTATGTCCTAAAATGCTTAGTTTCGGTAATACAGGGTGTAGAAGTTTCATTTTTATTTCGATTTTTTCCAAATAATTTCTGAAGCAATGTCAATCTATGGATGAAAATTTGTATCTGGAAGGAGACATGAGACTGAACATGAGAAATTTGATTTTAATGTCAGTATGACTCCTACTTTTAGAGGGCTACACTGGGTTACACCTACATATTTTTTAACTGGTTTGAAGTGTAATAACTTTTCGTTCGTACCTATATAAAACTACTGAGTAAAAAAATATACATTTACGACTTTTTTTACGTAAAAAAATGTCTCTTGGTATAAATCGCTACGAGTAAAGCTTGATTTTCATACATCCGTTGTCCGACGATAAGTTGATACGATATTAATCTCATTGGTTGTATTTAAAGGCTTCGATTGGATAACCGTTTCTAACCAATCGAAGTCTTTAAATTCAACCAATAAAATTAATATCGTATCATCGTATCGTCGGACAACGGATGCAAGAAAATCAAGCTTAATGGTTTTCGAGATATTTAGAATCGAAATGATCAGTATCTGTCATCAATGACATAAATTAAACATGTTGACTAAATAGTTAATATAAAATAAAAGTCATAAATTTGAAATGTTTTTGTGCCAAAAGTTCAACAGAAACGGTTTTATCATAATTTTTCCGAAGAAAAATTTATGATTAATTTAAAAAAATAAAAAGTTCCCCAATTTATCATTTCAGTGAAATAACTATCTACTCAACATGTTTATTTTGACGTATTAACTATTTTCACTATAAATATCTTGAGAACGGTTGCTCGTAGCGATTTTTACCAAGAGACATTTTTTACGTAAAAAATCACGGAAATCTATATTATTTCACTTAGTAGTTTTATACACGTACGGACGAAAAGTTAATACTCTTCAAGACAGTGAGAATAAATGTAAGTGGCGCCCCCTACAAAAAGGAGTTATATTGACATCAAAATCAAATTTCTCATGTCAAAAAACATCCAGACACCAATTTTCATCCAAATATTGACGTTACTTATATTAACTTAAATTATTTGGAAAAAATCGAAATAAAAATAAAACTTCTACACCTTGTATCTCCGAAAGTAAGCATTTTAGAACGTACATTTATACGAATTTTTTACTTATTACAGAATATGCTGTTAAAGTTTCCGGAATACAGTTTCTTTTTTCCGGACCACCCTGTATATCGCTAGAGTGTAGTTACACGGTTAGTTTTAAGAAACAAGCCTAATAAGCCGAAACAAATAATCCCAGCAGACCCGGCCACGCGGGTAAGGTCAGTGATGCGCAAGTACCCGGTATATTGAAATTTGGGTTAAATACCCAAGTTTTTGCACCCGGTATATATACAAAAAATAATATATACTATATTGAATTTGGGTAAATACCATTATACCCGGCATACTAGGGCCGGCATTTCTGGCCTTGGGTGCCGATTTTCGTGCGTACGAAGAGTACGGCCAACACGCTTAGCAAAATAAGATGTACTGAATAAAGACAGAAGGCAAGAAGTATTTTCCCAAGCGCATGGAATCTAGCCTCATATTAAGTAGTTATGTCATAAATACTTCGTATTTTTGCTCTCTCCGACTTACTAGATTGCCATAGAGATTCACTGCTATACATGTAACCGTCGACCCAAGGTTTCGCTTGCCAGCAGGGTATACTCAATCATACCCACGTTTTTAATTTGCAGAAAAATGTTAATTGCAAAAAAAATTTCCAGAAAATGTTTAAAAAAATACCGAATTTTCAAAAAAAAAATTGCGAAGAAAACCTCATAGGTGTGTTTCTGGGGTTGAATTATACTACCAGTTAAAATACTTGCACTTATTTCTGGGACACCCTGTATAGAATTATTCTAAAAAATTTGTATAATTTCATATATCATCTTCAGATATAGAAAGCGCGGTCCTTTATGAAATCCCAAATCGAGTATTATTGTATTATTTTGTGTGATAAAAAATTCCAATTTTAGCCCCAAAAATATACTTGAATTTTTGGGTTCTGGTAAAGTTTAGTAGAATTATGTAATATTAAAATAATTCAAATAACCCATTAGAAATTGTTTACAAATTTTATATTTTCAAGAAATTTCTCTATTGTTTCAGGTCTTAGGATACGAATAGCAAATTTATTTTTAAAATTACTGTCATGTGTTCTGTATATGATACGAGTTACAACCGACTTCGATCCTACATATGCAACGTGGTGAGTTAATATTATTAGTATTCCGTATTAGAGTAGGTAGATTATTACAATCATTATTGAATATTTCAGTTTAATATGCAATTACACCAATGTTATTAATATTGCCTATTATTATCAGTTGACATAAAAATATTATTTCGTAAAATTACCATATAAATGATTTCTATCTGTATATACAAAACATATGGTATAAATGTTAACTACTGCTGTTATTAATGAATAATATTTATCATATATATTTTCTATCTATCTACCTATAAGATTTATCCTAAATAGACTGTCTTCAGGAGCTGAGAAACACTGAATATCAAAAACAAAAAAAAAACGGAAAAATTTACAGGCAGGAAAATTTCTCGACAGACAATCCAACGAATGGAAAATTGTCCAAAAATGACAATTTTTAGGACTGAATTTGTTTGGACTTGTATTATACTTTCTAAGCCGACATAAAGCGTGAATGGAAGCATATGTCATTGTCAAGAAATTCTCTAGGGGAACTTTCCATTCGTTAAATCGTTTTTGTCGCGAAATTTTCCTGTAGGGAGTTTTCCCCGTATGGAATTTTTTGATCATGGACTGTGTTGACGGGACGTTTCCTTAAGTTAGATTAGGTTAGGTTGTGTGCTGGGATTTGGGATCATACTTGATCCCTCACTCGGAGGCCTTGGGCCCATTGCGATACCTCTGTATTGTTATACCAGACCTTCCTCTCATTCTCTTTGAGTTAAAGCACTTCCAGCTCTTTGCAAACTTCCCGATGTCGCATGTCGCTAGAGTTACCAGATGAAAACTTATCTATCTCGGGCAAGCCTTTCCAAAAATCCGGACAAAATCCGGACGTCATAATTTTTTAGCGATTTTATTTTATTTATTTTATTAGGAGTAAAAATGATACTTTTTGTATCGAGGCCTGTTACGACATACAGGCGACGCACAAAAAATCATAGAATAGAACATGCTATTTTTTTCAATCGCCACAAATATTTTTTAAACAATTTCAAACGTTTCAAATAAAATAAAAAATTTAAAAGTAATACCTTGTATGTAATTATATATCGAGAAACAATGGTTACGCTCGTTGAATTGGACACTTTATGTCAGTTTAATAATATATTTTCATAGTTTTGTGTATGGAGTGTAGAGGTAAGGAGAAACAACTCTTATGGGACTTTTATCGAAAAAGTGGTCACAAAATGGGAAGAATAAGGGTTCACCAAATAACCACAGTGGCGCTAAAAACGCATAATTCTGAAAAATGAAAAGTAACCATAGATAGGAGAATAAAAATAACATAACCAAACATTACAAGAAAAGTTCATGTTTTGGTTTTGTACTTGATACGCAAAAAGCTTTTTTTTTTCTTTTTCGAATACAAAAAAATTATATTTTAGGCATATTTTATTTTTATTCATTATTAACAATGGGGAAAGTGTGTGTAGTGGATAGTTGTTTGAACAGATGGAAAAAAAAGAGCAAATAAAACGACACAGGATATCTTCTTTCCAACCTAAGGTATGTAAAATACAGATAATTCAGTATTATATGTAAAATTTAGAATGAATCAAAAGTGTAGTAAAGGTTTTTCGTAAGATTATTGATATACGTATACAAAATATATCTTTACAGCCAAATAAAATGTATTTTTAATGATTTTAAAGTTTGACAGACATTCAACAAATTGTTGGCTTTTTTAAACAAGTAGGAAATACATTAAAATTGTACTTTCAAGAAATATATTTAACTAGAAAAATATTTAACTAAGTGCTTCATTCTTTTAATAATTTATCATTTTAATCAAAATCATCAGGATAATATTAAGTATTGATTTTCAGACAACAATTAGATTACAGCAATGGTCTAAAGCATTAGGCATTGCTTTGAAACCTACCAATAAGGTGTGCCAGTTTCATTTTAAAGAAGAGGATGTTAAAATTTATGAGAAAATTGTCATCGGAAATATTGTCCACTTAGAGTATTTAGATAGGGAAATATTGAAGGACAAAGCCCTACCTAGAAGGAAATATCAGTTTAATTTAAATTCTGAGGTGCAACAACAGGAACAATTAAATGAATATACACGTAGTATTGTTATACACATAAAAGACTAATATTATACACATAAAGATCAACATTTTGTAGAGCAACAACAGAATAAAAGACTCAAATTTGAATATCATCAACCAAAACGGGAACCGTTAAATGAATATTTTATACGTAAATATTATTATACACATAAAGAATAATATTATACACATAAACATCAACATTTTGTAGAGCAACAACAGAATAAAATGCCAAAATTTGAACATCACCAATCAAAACGGGAACCATTAAATGAATATTATACACGTAAATATTATTATACACATAAAGAATAAATTATACACATAAAGATCAATATTTTGTAGAGCAACAACAGAATAAAATACCAAAATTTGAACATCCCCAATCAAAACGGGAACCATTAAATGAATATTATACACGTAAGTAGTAAGTCACAATCCACACATAAAGAGTAACACCGTATGTTAAAAAAACGGTTCATCCAGTTGGCTGGGATGATGATCGATGACATTTTTCATGTAATTTTATATATAAAATGACAGCGATCTTCATTTCATAGCCATTGCATAAAGATCAACATTTTGTAGCGCAACAACAGCATCAAATAACAGAAATAATGGACCTATTGCTCAAATCAGAAATAAAATTTCAGTATTGCCACCTTACTGGTTATATATCAATAAACCCAAAGAAATTGAGTTTATGCAACTAGATCCTACGAACAAGCAGATCTTAAATCACATAATTCTAAGTGAAGATCTATCTATTATAGTATGTATAAACGTTTTGCATATTTTATTCAATGTAACAAAATTGCAGGTAGTTTATTCTAATAACGAAAAAAAAGCTTTGGATCATAAAATATCTTCTTCTGATGAGCTTTATGAATATTTAAAGTCTGTTAAAAAGTGGCCATTATGTGTTGGTACGCAATTTGATAAAAAAAAGTAACTTTCTTAGCAACATTTTAACTGTATAATAAAAAACACCACCAGCAGTGTATAAGGATGCTTTTTGTGTATTTTTCACTTTTCATTGGTAATTTTTAGATATTCTCAAGAATGTAAAGGAGTCCTTATTGGAGATGATGCTTATCAGAGATGTCAAAAGAATCCACGCTGCATGTCTTGTGCAGTTCTTCATCTCCGATTTCAGAAACATGGTACTTTAAAAAGCTGATAATACTGCACATGATTCTTGTCTAGAACTAGTTGATGTTATGGTAGTTAAGCCATCGGACTATCAAACATTAAAAATCCACTACTCTGAATGAATGGCAACTGCGATGGCAAAACGTAAATAAATGCTTTTACAGTATAAAATTACATTATATTGGCTTAATTTTTATACTAAATAAAATATATTACGTTATTTTCGACCTGCCATTATATTTATTTAAATCCTATATCATCAATTAATTACTAAATAAAGTTTTTCTATTTATAATTAACATTAATTTTAAGCTAAAGTTTTTTCATCTTGAATGAGATTTACGAAAAGTTAACAATAAAAAAAGATGCCCAGTCTATTGCTTCTGAATAATCGATAATAAAATCACATATTGACTTTTATACAAAATAAATGTATGGAGTTATTTTAAAGCTGCATTATATTTATTTAAAACCCATCACCATTTATTATTACTTTAAAGTTTTCTTAATTATCACAAATAACATAATCTTATGTTATCTGTGTTAATTATAATTAACATTAATTTTAAACTAAAACGATCACAATATTTTTTCGTCGTCTTGAATGATATTTGCGAAATAACTTATGAGAAACAATAAAAAAGGGCCTAGTCTATTGCTACTGAATAAAAATCTGTAATTTATTTCATGCAACATGAAAATAAAATTGTATTTTTTTGAAACCCGCGGCTTCGCGTTTGCTTCACGTCAAATATTTATGTCTTGAATCATATGTTCTAAAATGTTCGGCGCATGTCTTAAATTTTAGGATCTTGATACAGCAGCGCCATCCTAATTCTTCCCTTTTTTTGACCATTTTTTAATGGACGGAGTTATTTCTCCTTACCTCTATACTCCATAGTTTTGTGCTTAGGCGTAAAAGTGCTTTACTTTTATGCCTAGGTGTTAAACTGAGTTTTTTATATTGTCAATCACGTCGCAAAAAGTAATACTTTTGTGACATTTACAAAAAAAAATATATTTATAACTTTCAAAACTTACGGAGTAAAACAATGAATTTACACTGCAGAATTTATCGACGATTTTTTAAGTACCTAACTAAATTTATTAAAACTAATAATTATTTTGCATTATTGCGACATTTCTTAATGGAACATTAAAATCCGGACGCTTATGAAAAATCCGGCCGGACCCAACCGGGCGTAGTAAAAATCCGAACGTCTGGTAACCCGGCCCAACTAGCACACTTATTTTATAATTTTTAACTTTCGGTACTATTCTGTTTTATAATTACTTTATTACTTCTCCTCAAAAACCATTTTGTTGTATTAAAATTGCAAGTGAAATATTTTAGTTTTTAAAATGATTTTGCTTTATAAGTTAGTCGTAAGAACGTTCTTAAAGCAAAAATACGGAACAGTCTTACGACAAATTTTAATTTTGTTTTATAAACGTTTATACAATGTATTTTATACGACATTTTACCTTACCGAACAAATTTGTTTTATAATAAATTTGTACCGCTGTTACTCGACACTAGGTCATTCGTTTGCGAACATATGTAAAATTGTTTTATTAAATTCATGCGAGATATTTATAAAATTATTTTATAAAAGTTTTTTTTCTGATATTATTGCCGACAACAGCATATTTTACTCAGACAATACCTTTAAAAAATGGTTATATAATTTATACAAACACTGTCATAATAAAAACCTAATGGAATAATTATAAAACAAAAAAATAATTCTGATGACACAAAAGCATTTGATAATACATTTATAA